TGTTGACCAGGATGGTCTCGAACTCTTGACCTTGTGATCCACCCGCCTCGGACTCCCAAAGTGCTGGGATTACAGGCGTGAGCCACCGCGCCCGGCCCGATATATATTTTTTGAAACGTAATTTTTCTCTTTCCAGTTTCCCATTTCTACCAAAGACAAATAATAATAAGATCAATTTATTTGCAAAATACATTTTAGTTGTATTATATGTGGCCTGATTATTTGCATAAAGTGCAGCAAGAATAGTGATTGGTCATATAGGCTCTTTTAAAGTTGTCTTTGCTGGATTTTTTTTTTAAGACAGAGTCTTGCTCTGTTGCCCAGGCTAAAGTAAAGCGGCACAATCTCAGCTCACTGCAACCTCCACCTCCCGGGTTCAAGTGATTCTTCTGCCTCAGCTTCCTGAGTAGCTAGGATTACAGGTGCACCCCACCATACCCAGCTAATTTTTGTATTTTTAGTAGAGACAGGAGTTCACCATGTTGGTCAGACTGGTCTCGGACTCCTGATCTAGTGATCTGCCTGCCGCAGCCTCCCAAAGTACTGGGATTACAGGCATGAGCCACTGCACCCAGCCTTGCTGGAATCTTTTAATAAGAAACTTTAGATTCAACTTTTAAAAGCCTCAAGGCTAGAAAGCCAAGCCAAAGATTTATCATCAGATTGTGTTTGTAACACCTATATGAATCTGGTGAATTTGTTTCTTCTCAAATTCCTCAAAATACCTTGAAATTCCTAGACCTGTGTTGAGCGTGATGGCTCATGCCTGTAATCCCAGCACTTTGGGAGGCTGAGAAGTGCAAATCACCTGAGACCAAGAGTTTGAGACCTGCCTGGTCAACACAGCAAAACCCCATCTCTACTAAAAATACAAAAATTAGCCGGGCATGATGGTGGGCGCCTGTAATCCCAGTTTAGGAGGCTGAGGCTTGAGAATCACTTGAGCCTAGAAGGTGGAGGTTGCAGTGAGCCAAGATCATGCCAATACATTCCAGCCTGGGTGATGGAGTAAGCCACTGTCAAAAAAAAAAAAAAGAAAAGAAAAAGAAAAAAAAGTAATTCCTAGACCTGTCAGAAAGTGACATTCTTTACTTATCACAGGTCAGAAATCTTGTAAGAGAACTGTAGACAAGGTAGTGGGCTATGCTTTCCAGGAGGCTTTATACCAACTTCAATTCCTGAAAGCAATCTGGTCATATTTGAAAATATGCCATTCCAGTCAAAGCCTTAGTAAAATAAGGCTCCAACTGTGTATCATTAAAAAAGAAAACAGATTCTTATTGAACTTATTCAAATAACCATAATGCCATAAATCAAGAATACTTACAAATAGTTTCTGAATTCTGGAGAAATCAGGCAGAGAGAAAAGTGAATATTTTCATTTTGCCCAACTGCTATAAACTATAAATAGTTCCAGGCCAAGTGCAGCGGTTCACGCCTATAATCCCAGTACTTTGGGAAGCCAAGGCTGGTGAATCATTTGAGCCTAGGAGTTCCAGACTAGCATGGGCAACATGGCAAAATGCCATCTTTACAAAAATTATCCAGTGGCTTGTGTAAAAGCACATCCACTGTATAGAATAAGAGAAAAAAAAATTATCCAGTGGCATGTACCTGTAGTCCCAACTATTCAGGAGGCTGAGGAGGGAGGATTGAATGAGCCCAAAAGCTCAAGGCTGCAGTGAACCATGATTGTGCCACTATACTCCAGCTGGGTGACAGAGAGAGACTTTGTCTCAAAAACAAACATTAGGCCACGAACAGTGTCTCACACTGTAATCCCAGCACTTTGGGAGGCTGAGGCAGGTGGATCACTTGAGGTCAGGAGTTCAAGACCAGCCTCTAGGATGGTGTAACCCTGTCTCTACTAAACTAGGAAAATTAGCTGGGTGTGGTGGCATGAGACTGTAATCCCAGCTACTTGGGAGGCTGAAGTGCAAGAATCACTTGAACCTGGGAGGCAGAGATTGCAGTGAGCTGAGATAGCACCATTGCACTCCAGCCTAGATAACAGAGACTCTGTCTCAATAATAATAATAATAAATAGCTCAAAAGAAAAAAAAAACAGTTTTCTTGACTCTGGAAAACAAAACATAAAAAGAATCGGCAATGTTTCAAACAAACAAACAAAGTCATTAAAAATTATTTTAGCATAGACGTCGCACGTCCAGGCGGGAGGTCGGTGTGGCCTGGGCTTCTGCTCCCCGGCGGATGTGGCAGCCCCGAGCCATGGCTGTCTCCATCCGAGTCCTTTATTGTGGCGCTTGAGGCTACAAGTCCAAGTATCTTCAGCTCAAGAAGTTAGATAAGTTCCCCGGCCGCCTGGACACCTCTGGCGAGGGAACTCCCCAGGCCACCGGGTTCTTCGAAGTAAGGGTAGCTGGGAAGTTGATTCACTCTAAGAAGAAAGGCGATGGCTACGTGGACACTGAAAGCAAGTTTCTGAAGCTGGTGGCCGCCATCAAAGCCGCCTTGGCTCAGGGCTAATGCACCCTGAAGGCAGAGTCCAGGGACCTTAATCCAGCCCCTCTCAGCAGACGCTTCAAGACGGGAAGGAGTGAAATGCCTCGTGGATGCCTGGTCCTTCCCCGATGCTCTCGTGGCTGCTGTTGGGGGCAGAGATTGATGCCCTTGCTCTCTGCCTCTGTGTGTGTGTGTCTTCCCCGGGCTCCACACTGCCCCACCCTCCTCCTGTCCCCAGATTTCATCAGATTTCTGTGCACACCCCATGTTTCCCCAGTTGTCTCCCAGAGTTTGGGGAACATCCCGCCTCAGGCATCCTTCTTATGGGGAAGCTAAGAGAGGCATCAGGATGGGTGAGTGTCTGATTGTGGCAAAGTTTGCAGCTGTTCACAATTCAATAAATATTGGACGAGTTTAACTGAAAAAAAATTATTTTAGTCCTCTATTAGTTCAGTCCCATGTAATTAATTTTTCTTCTGGCGTGGTGGCATGTCCCTGTAGTCCTAGATACTCAGAAAACTGAAGTGGGAGGATCACTTGAGCCCAGAAGTAGTTCTTGGCTAAAATGAGCTATGATCATGCCACTGTACCCCAGTCTGGGTGACAGATTGGGATCCTGTCTCTAAAAACAAAATAAGGAGCCAGGTGTGGTGGCTCACACCTGTAATCCCAGCATTTTCTTGAGCCTAGGAGTTCAAGACCAGTCTGGGCAACATAGTGAGACCACACCTCTACAAAAAAATTTTTTAATTAGCCATCTAGTCAGGAGGCCAAGATGGGAGGCTCACTTATGCTTGGAGGCTAAGGCTGTAGTGAGCCATGATTCACCACTGCACACTCGAGCCTGGGTAACAGAGCGAGACTTTGTTTAAAAAAAAAATAAGAGGCCGGGCGCGGTGGCTCAAGCTTGTAATCCCAGCACTTTGGGAGGCCGAGGCGGGTGGATCACGAGGTCAAGAGATCGAGACCATCCTGGTCAACATGGTGAAACCCCGTCTCTACTAAAAATACAAAAAATTAGCTGGGCATGGTGGTGCGTGCCTGTAATCCCAGCTACTCAGGAAGCTGAGGCAGGAGAATTGCCTGAACCCAGGAGGCGGAGGTTGCGGTGAGCCGAGATCGCGCCATTGCACTCCAGCCTGGGTAACAAGAGCGAGACTCCGTCTCAAAAAAAAAAAAAAAGAAAAAAGAAAAGACAAAACCATAATTGGTAAGGCAATATGGTTTGGCCGTGTCTCCACCCAAGCTGAGATCTTATTACAATTCAAGATCTCAACTTGAATTGTAATAATCCCCATGTGTGAAGGTCAGGGCCAGGTGGAGATAACTGAATCATGAAGGCAGTTTTCCCCATACTGTTCTCATGGTAGTGAATAAGTCTCATGAGATCTGACGGCATTATAAATGGAGTTTCCCTTCACAAGCTCTCTTGGCCTGCTGCCATGTAAGACATGACTTTGCTCCTCCTTCGTCTTCTACCAGGATTGTGAGGCCTCCCCAGCTATGTGGAAATGTGAGTCAATTAAACTTCTTTCCTTTATAAATTACCCAGTCTTGGGTTTGTCTTTATTAGCAGCATGAGAACTAATACATAAGGAAATTTGGCTACTTCTGTGGCATATAACAATTTTAATATAATAATCATAATTACTGTGATAACATATACAGAGCCTCCTGCCTGTAAACCCAGCACTTTGGGAGGCCAAGGGAGGAGGATATATCAAGGCATATCAGAATTTTAGAACTAGTTTACATTTTGGAACACACATTAATAACACACTTATTAATATAACTCAAAGTTAAACATTATTTCTTATTTGCCAATGCTTTGAGGGGAAAAAGACTTAATTTTAGAATTTGAAATGTGATTTGGGGAAATTAGTCAAATATCAATGGTTTAAAACACTTGATATTAAAATAAGAAAGAGGCCAAACATGGTGGCTCACACCTGTAATCCTAGCACTTTGGCAGGCCAAGGTGGGAAGGTCACTTGAAGCCAGGAATTTGAGAACAGCCTGGAAAACAGAGTGAGACTCCATCTCTACAAATTTTTTAAAAATGAGCAGGGACCCTGTAATCCCAGCACTTTGGGAGGCCGAGGCGGGTGGATCACGAGGTCAAGAGATCGAGACCATCCTGGTCAACATGGTGAAACCCCGTCTCTACTAAAATTACAAAAAATTAGCTGGGCATGGTGGCGTGTGCCTGTAATCCCAGCTACTCAGGAGGCTGAGGCAGGAGAATTGCCTGAACCCAGGAGGCGGAGGTTGCGGTGAGCCGAGATCGCGCCATTGCACTCC